CACAGACGGCGCCAAATGTTTCGGGGTTTTCTGATGTCCTGCGGGAGAGTTACAATTTCGAGACTGAAACCGGACGCCTGTACCTGCAAAACAACGGAGACTCCTGGTGGTGGGAGCTCCGCCTCCAACGGTCAAGTTAGTACTTGATTAAGGAGTAATTAATGCGGAAATTAAAGTGATTGGGTCTCTCTAGGTGAGAGTGTTTAATGTAGGTAATCTGCTTTGTTAGCGTGATCAGCCTGTTATCTCTATGTAATTTGTGTAATTAATGTGTAATCTCCCTTAATGAGGATTAAGGGAGGTATTTATAACCTTGGGAAACGTGCCAATCCTAGGTTTAGGTTAACCTAGGGCTGATTGGGCTTCCCTCGGAAGTTGGGCCTAGGTGGCCGGTTATCCCAGGTGTCATGGGAAGGACACATGTCGTGTCGTAATTGGTCCAAGGTGGACGGATCATTGCTTGACACGTGGCAGGCTCCATTGGCCCATGTGACGGACACATGGCGGAACCTGATTGGTCCACTTGTCAGATGGTGATTGGTGGGAGCAAAATCCCCTAATCATTAACCATGGTCCCTAGTACCCTCCGGGAGTTAAATTGGGTGGGTGTAACCATCTAATTTGCCTTTAAACGACCAATTTACCGGTGTATAACTTGCAACAATTTAATTAACTCGAGCCTACCACGAACATTTAGGACAAAATATAATTGATCATTTATTGTTCCAAACGGCATTATATGACCCCGAGATGTATCCCCCTAAAATCTCATTTCTTTTCAACACCGGGCCCCGAAACTTTTTAAATTTCTAAAAAAGCATGGATATTAACCTTCAATTTTGAAATTTTTTGACTTTTTTCGCACGGAAATAAAAATTGCCAAAATGTTTACCATGGTCCCTAATACCTCCTGGGAGTCCAATTGGGTGGGTAGAACCATCCATTTTGCCGTTTTACAACTTGCACCGATTCCATTAACTCAAACCTACCACGAACATCTATGACAACAAATAATGATCATATATGGTTCTAAACGACATTATATGACCTCGATATGTGTTGCCTAAAATCTCAAATATTTTCGATACCGGGCCCCGAAACAATTGAAATTTCTCAAAAAAAAACGTGCATATTAGCCTTCAGGTTTGGAATTTTTTGACTTTTTTTTCGCCAGTAAATAAAAATTGACGAAATGTTTACCATAGTCCATAATACCCTCCCGGAGTCCAATTGGATAGGTGGAACCATCCAATTTGCCTTTAAACGATCAATTTACCGATTCAATACTTCCACCGATTTAATAATTCAAGCCTACCACGAACATTTATGACAACATATAATGATCATATATGGTTCCAAACTGCATTACATGACCCCGAGATGTATACCCTAAAATTTCAAGACTTTTTGACACCGCGTTTCAAAACCTCCAAAATTTCTCAAAAAGCGTAGATATTAGTCTTCAATTTTGGAATTTATTGACTTTTTTTCGCCCGAAAATAAAAATTGCCGAAATGTTTACCATGGTCCCTAATACCCTCTGGGAGCCCAATTGCGTTAGTGGAACCATTCAATTTTCCTTTAAACGACTAATTTAATTACCGGTTTACAAGTTGCACGGATTTCATTAACTGTACTCAAGCCTACCACGAACATTTATGGCAAGATATAATGATCATATATGGTTCCAAATGGCATTCTATGAACTTGAGATATATCTCCTAAAATTTCAAGCGTTTTCGACACCTGTCCCGAAAACTCCAAAATTTCTCAAAAAACGTGGATATTAGCCTTTAATTTTGGAATTTTTTGACTTTTTTTTGCTCGTTAGTAAAAATTGCCGAAATGTTTACCATGGTCCCTAATGCCCTCCGGGAGTTTAATTGGGTGGGTGAAACCATCTAATTTGCCTTTAAACGACCAATTTACCGGTGTACAACTTGCAACAATTTAATTAACTCAAGCCTACCACGAACATTTATTACAAAATATAATGATCATTTATTGTTCCAAACGGCATTATATGACCCCGAGATGTTTCCCCTAAAATCTCATTTCTTTTCGACACCGGGCCCTGAAAATTTTTAAATTTCTAAAAAAGTATGGATATTAACATTCAATTTTGGAAATTTTTGAATTTTTTTCGCACGGAAATAAAAATTGCCTAAATGTTTACCATGGTCCCAAATACCCCATGGGAGTCCAATTGCGTGGGGGAGAACCATCCATTTTGCCTTCAAACGACCAATTTACTGATTTACAACTTGCACCGATTCCATTAACTCAAACCTACCACGAACATCTATGACATCAAATAATGATCATATATGGTTCTAAACGACATTATATGACCCCGAGATTTATTCCCTAAAATCTCAAATCTTTTCAATACCGGGCCCCGAAACAATTGAAATTTCTCAAAAAAAAAACGTGCATATTAGCCTTCAATTTTGGAATTTTTTGACTTTTTTTTTTCGCCCGTAAATTAAAATTGCCGAAATGTTTACCATGGTCCCTAATATCCTCCGGGAGTCCAATTGGGTTAGTGGAACCATTCAATTTTCCTTTAAACGACCTATTTAATTACCGGTTTACAAGTTGTACGGATTTCATTAACTGTACTTAGGCCTACCACGAACATTTATGACAAGATATAATGATCATACATGGTTCCAAACGGCATTATATGACCCCGACATGTATCTCATAAAATTTCAAGCGTTTTCGACACCTGCCCCGTAACCTCCAAAATTTCTCAAAAAGCGTGGATATTAGCCTTCAATTTTGGATTTTTTGACTTTTTTTGCCTGGAAATAAAAGTTGCCGAAATGTTTACCATGGTCCCTAATACCCTCTGGGAGTCCAATTGGGTTAGTGGAACCATTCAATTTTCCTTTAAACGACCTATTTAATTACCGGTTTACAAGTTGTACGGATTTCATTAACTGTACTCAGGCCTACCACGAACATTTATGACAAGATATAATGATCATACATGGTTCCAAATGGCATTTTATGACCCCGACATGTATCTCCTAATATTTCAACACTTTTCGACACCGGCCGCGGAAAACTCCAAAATTTCTCAAAAAGCGTGGATATTAGCCTTCAATTTTGGATTTTTTGACTTTTTTTTGCCCGAAAATAAAAGTTTCCGAAATGTTTACCATGGTCCCTAATACCGTCCGGGATTCCCATTGGGTGGGTGGAACAATCCAATTTGCCTTTAAACGACCAATTTACCGGTTTACAACTTGCACCGATTTCATTTATTCAAGCCTACCATGAATATTTATGACAACAAATAATGGTTCCAAACAACATTATATGACCCCTAGATGTATACCCTAAAATTTCAAGACTTTTCGACACCGGGCCCGGAAAACTCCAAAATTTCTCAAAAAGCATGGATATTAGTCTTCAATTTTAGAATTTTTTGGCTTTTTTCGCCCGAAAATAAAAATTGCCGAAATGTTTACCGTGGTCCCTAATACCCTCCGGGAGTCTAATTGGGTGGGTGGAACCAACTAATTTTCCTTTTAACGACCAATTTACCGGTTTACAACTTGCACCGATTTCATTAATTCAACCATCTAATTTGCCTTTAAACGACCAATTTACCAGTTTACAACTTGCACCCAAATTGTTCTGACCTGATTTTAATTCACCTTAAATGCAATTTAGACCACCTTATTATTGTTGATCAAAGCATTTTGTCTTGGGAGACCAAGTCGATCCAGGCCAGCAAAAGAAATGATCATCATCCTCAAATTTAAGAGTTAAGTATAGTATGTATTTGTTGTATGGTCAAAGGAGATAATTATCTTCCTAAATTATAGACTATAGTTCTCTAATATATTGCCATATATATTATAGTCAAAGGAAATAATTAGCTTGATAAAAATGGTTATTATCTATTTATAGTTAGTTGAACCCGAATATGACCTGACTTGGAAATGACCCGACCTGATTATAACCTGCAAATTATTAACCTGAACATAACCCGACTTGAATTTGAGAATGACCCAACTTGGAAATGATCCAACCTGATTATAACCCGCAAATTATTGACTTGAATCGAATTCGAGAATGACCCGACTTGAAAATGACCCGACTTGATTATAATATGCAAATTATTGAGAACCGAACCCGACTCAAACATGAGAATTACCCGACCTGATTCTAACCCGCATATTATTGACTTGAACCGAACCTGACTCGAACCCGAGGATTATCCTAACATGTTTTAACCTGTAAAAACCCGAATTAAACCTAACCTATTGTTTACCCGACCCGAATGTAATCTGACCTGTTATTAACCCGATCTAAACCCGATAAGAAGTATGACTCGACGTGACCCGACTCAAGCATGACCTAACCCAAACCCGACCCGCATAGGTTATGGAATTAATCTTAATTGACTCAACCCGAGTTGACCCGACCCATTCTTACTCGACCTAAACCCGACCCGTTTACCCGAATTGACAGCTCTAGTCTCAATCAACTCATTTTGGTGAGTCATTTCGGGTCCATCTCTGCTAAACCAAAGATACCTATAGCTTTATTCTGGTTATCATTATTTATAATCGGATACCAAATGGGCCAATAGTATGAAACTTTGGCCCTGTTTGGGAGAAAGCTGATTGAGTTAGCTGATTTTATTAACTGATTTGAATAACTTATTGTATTAACTGATTATATAAAAGTGTTTGGTAAATAGCTGATAGATTAAAGGTGATTGAGTATGTGAAATGACTAATAAGCTAATTGTGGGATAGGTAGTTTAGATAGGATTTAAAATTAAATGAGGTTATAAGTGTCATTTCACAATAATTAATAAATAAGCTAATTGAAAAAGCTCCTAAAATGAGCTTTTTCAAAAAGAGCTTATTTAGTGGAATAAGCTCTTTCAACAAGCTTACTACTAACACTTGTATTAGCTTGTTTGACTAGTCAATCAACTTAAGTTAGTCAAATATGCTAATATACCCCCAATAAACTTACTACCAAACAGGGCCTTTGTATTATCGATAGGACAGTTTGCTGATGACAAAGATGAGAACTCAATGTTCCAACTATATAGAGAATTGCAGCAAAGGTTTAGCACAAAGACTCACATTCAGGCAAATCTCGACAGCCCAGATACACATACATCTCAGGTAGAGCAAAATTACATATAAGGAAGAGAAAAAAGAGTAATCATACAGATGAGAGAATGAATTACAGCACGTAAGGTTCGTCCTCAATAGAATAAAGGCAGTCGAAACATGAAGCTGATCAACTCTTCTCCGCGACATCAGTAGCAGCAGGAACTGTTGCAGAAGGTTTCATGGTAATAATTTCATTATCATGGACACCTTGTAGAAGAAGCTCTCCGTCATATGTCAATATTTTCCTCTTCTTTGCAGCTCTTAGTGTTCCAACGAGAGCTTCAAATATGTTTGCGCAACGATCATCATTAAATAGGACACCAAAGGTGACCTATATATACAAGGATCAAATAAGATTCAAGCAGCCCTGATTTTGCAGAAAAAAACAGTGAATACATAGAGCAAATTTCAAAGGAAGGCTAAGGATTAAGTGTAGGACAAGTGGACTACAGACTACATAGAATGTATTGCCTGACATTCAGTAGAATATCAGTTAATTTTCTTGTTCTCTCATTCAGCAAGCTAACAGATGACTAATGACTTCTGGGGTGCACTCTTTCGAGCAATGTTGAAAAATCGAAAACCCTCATGGTGACTGAACTTTTTAGTCCTACATAAATGCAATTTTTTCGATATTTTGACTGTCGATATGTTTAACTGCGATTTTCCAAACTTAATTGGAGGGTAATTTTGGAGTACAACGCCGGGATTAGTCTTGTTAATCCAAGCATTTCGCATTGTATTAAGTTGTGATTAAAGCTTTCAATCCATAAGACAGGAGATTCTTGATGATCTCACATAATGAAATTAAATTAGTCACATTACAGTATTACACAATAATTACAAGATTAACTATGTAAGTTTACCAACCATATACTAAAGATATAATGTCATCCAAAAATGTTGGTCTTTCTTAGCACATATCCAAAAATATATGTATGCTCATTTCACTGTCAAATTTGATAATATTACTAAACAATGTCCAATTACTGAAGTTAGATCCTACAATTTCAAAATCCAAAATTGAAAAAAATATAAAGCAATGTCAGATAACCCAGATCAATACATTAGATCAATTATAATTTGATGCAGATAATTTGGCAGAAAAATTAGATTGACCCAGAAATCCAGATCATGCTAAAAAATGAAAATTTTCAATTTCAGTGAAATTGGATAAAAAAAACAAGAAATTTGTAAAAATGTGTTAGATTTAGAGAAAGGATTGACCTTATAAGATCCATCTTCTTGGATCTGACCAAGGCGTTTGATTTCTTCTTGAAGCTTCCCAATTTCTTCTTCAACATTCATGGCTGATGATTTTCTCTTTCTTTGTTTGTTCTGTAAGAGCTAAAGCTGAGGCCGAAGAGACAGGATAGTAATGGACTTATACAAATGAAAGTGTTTCCCACTTTCCCCACTTCTGTTTAAATTAGGCCTTTGATAATTAGACTACTTGCAAATTGCAATAATTGCTTATGCCTCATTAGGATTATTGTGTGATGTGTCATTATCAAATGTCGAAAGTCATATGACACATTTCGGCACAATTTAAGGAAGATTATTATTATTATTAAATAGGATGAAAATACTTAAATCATATGAAGTATAACAATTTATATATTACGGAGTAGCATGTTAGGCATATTCGTATGGTTGTATAATGGAAATAATTTCATGTGAAAAGATGGAAATTAGTTGTAAAAAAAAAATATGCAATGTAAAACTATTGTCAAGAATGAAACTTATTTCTTGTCAATTTCAATAAAATTCCTTAAAGAATTGAGGAGGGTCATCTTGTGGGAGTTGAAAAATCCTTAAACAAAACTTAGTTTGAGTTTCCTTCTATGAATCACTTGCCAATCACATTAGTCACTTAGATTATAAATAAACTAAAGTTTCATTGCGAATATTAACAGTTTGCTACACATATAAAATTAAGTCCCTTAATGTCGGATATGTTATTAATTACTTAATGTGAACATTTACATTTTGCTATACATTTCACAGTAGTATTTTCTTTTTAACCTCATCATCATATGATAAAATAATTTTATTTTTCTTACAAATTCAAATGAGTTTACAAATCACATAGGTTTAAATAAGTCAAATTTTTAACCTCATTTGTTTATACAATGATTGCATCTCACCTCAAAAGCTTAAATTCTACCCCATATCCTCTATTATCACTCATTAAGCCCACAAATACAAGCTTACAACCAAATTTTTATTCCATTTAATTTTTCAATTTTTTTTTTTTGAAACATTTCAATTTTTTAATTTATTCTCTGTGTTTGAAACAAAAAGAGTCAAAGGCTTTAGTCAATCCTTTCTTTCTGCCCTATGCCTAAACAGTAAACACCCACATGGCCACATAAACCCAAAATACTTAAAAAAATAAAGGAGTATAAAATAAATTATTTTTAAAAAATAAAATAATAATCAGAAAATTGTCCCTTGAGAACCTGTGAAATGGTCTCTTCACAAACGACTTTTTGCTCTGCAACACAAAATCTAATTTCCCCTTTTTTTCATTTATATATTTATAATTATCCATTTTTAGCACTACTTCTCTCTCTACTTTCTCTCTCTTCTTCTTCGTCTTCCTCAAAAAATCCAAATTCCTGAGAATTAGGGTTTTACAGAGAGATTTATGCTCTTCGAATGTTGTTGTAATGGAGGTTTCAACGAAGCAATTCGATGATCAAAATCAGCTTGCGATTATGGAGGAAAACGACGACGACGATTTCAGCGCCGGAGGTGAAAGCGCCGGCGAAGATGCGCATGTTAGCATAGCGATTCCTGGTAATGCGAGTAGACCTGCTTCTTCTGCTGCTGCTGCTGCAGTGAGGTGTTCATCTTCATCTCCGCTAATTCGGAAGAGAACTAGTGAGCTTACAATCGCGTTCGAAGGCGAAGTGTATGTTTTCCCTGCTGTTACACCTGATAAGGTGATTTTCTCTCTCCTCTTTCAATTTTTGGTTTGATTTTGTGTTTTTGGAAGCAAATTGTAGAATAGTGATTCAAGGACGTGCAATTGATTGTTTCGATTATACACCGGGGTGTACCTAGAGTGTAATAAACCCGAGGCTATCTTTTTGCTCATTTAGGTAGAGCCGAAAGTAGGTGTAACACGCTCGAGTGTATAATAGACATTTAGTAGACATTCTTGAAATTCAAAGGAAAGAATTAGATGATGTTGCATTTTCTTTGTATTATAACAGAGGATATAATAGTTGATACTCGTAATAATGATCAGATATAGGTGTTGATCAGAACTGGAATATCAGTATATATTATGCAATGATTTTGCATGAATATCTGGTAAACTGTAAGAAGTTTATGTTGATGTATGATTTTTGATGTGAACTTGTAAGATTAGCTATTCAACTTTCAAGCTATGATCATGTGATTTTCTGGATAGTTTTGATGTAATTTTACGTGACAAACAGAATTTAGTTATTTTAGTTGATTTCCCTGCTACTTTGAGCATGTGTTTTACTTCGTCTGGAGGTTTGATTTTGTTGTGATGTGGTTTTTGACAGTTTTTGATGTGAACTTGTAAGGTTAGCTATTCAACTTTCAAGCTATGATCATGTGATTTTTTGGATAGTTTTGATGTAATTTTACGTGACAAACAGAATTTAGTTATTTTAGTTGATTTCCCTGCAACTTTGAGCATGTGTTTTACTTCTTATGGAGGTTTGATTTTGTTGTGATGTGGTTTTTGACAGGTGCAAGCTGTTTTATTACTCTTGGGAGGGCGTGATGTATCAGCTAGTGTACCTACATCAGAGTTTCTACTCCAGCAGCATCATATGGTATAATTGAAGCGATGTATGTGCTAATTATATGTTATTCTATCAATTTAATTGAGGTTATATGCTTGCAAAATGATGTAGGCACTAGGTGATCCTTCATGTGGCCAAAAAATCTCTCATAGAATTGCGTCTTTGGTTAGATTTCGAGAAAAGAGGAAAGAAAGATGCTATGATAAGAAAATTCGCTACACATGCCGGAAAGAAGTTGCTCAGAGGTAATCTTTTCGTGTGCTTTTTGAAGTATCAAGAACTTTTTTCGTCTTGCCCTCTGAAACCTTGACTAGCATAAGTTTCTGTTGTTTCTTATTGCACTCGAGAGATTTTGTTCTGAATTTCTGATGTTGCTGGTAACAAGTGGATAGTTGGTTTAAATCTTATTACTGAAATTTTGGCTGCTTTTAAAATTTCCATATGAAGTATATTATAGAAAGTCTGGATGTGGTTTCCTCCTAGAATCATTGTTTTGGTTCTACTGGTCATACACGCATTCTACAGCTGAACATATTATTGGTAAGTGCAGCTACACGCCTACTGTATATTTTTGAAGGACGTTTTGCTTTTTGTCATGCAAGAATGACATTGGAGATATATATAAGTATGGCCTTCTATTCAACAAGAAACTGTTGGTTCAATTTTTCTAGAATATCTTCTCTCCATTGTGGCTTACCTGATAGGCTTACTCTTTCAATGTATGGCTTTACCGTGGGATGTTCTTTTCTTCTTAGAATCTTCTCTCCATTGTTGCTTCTTGGTTGTTGATGTACGTAAAGGAAAAATTCCCCTTCCTTTCCCTCACGGGAGAGATGCATTAACCTGGGCCTTTAACACCATTACAATAATGAATTTTTTTGGCTGAATAAGTGTCTTTACATTATCATGCTGGTTTATGAATTGGGCTATGTGAATATGGTGTGTCTGTTGAAGAAGATAGTAAGATTATCAATTTAAATTAATTGTTAAGCATTTTTTTTATAAAGTTTGTGCAATTTTAAAAGCTTTGTTGGAGCACATTTTGTGATTTGAAAATATGGTGTTATGCTTATTGCTACATAAATCAACAATATCTTATACTCTGTAGGATGCATCGGAAAAATGGACAATTTGTATCATTGAAGGATCGGTACAACTTGGCTGCTGTAAATTGGGATCCTAATGATGGTACTCCACCTCCAGAATGTGTGTAAGTTTGAATCAACCTCTACCACGTTTCCCTTTTTTTTTTGGGTGGGGGTTGGGGAGGGGGGGGGGACTGGAAGGTGGAAGGGCTTTGCAAGTTATTGAAAGATGACATATTCATGCTGTGTGAAGTATTCTATTATTAAGTGATAGAGCTGATGTGGTATGCTTTTCCAAACAGCCCACGCAGTTGTCAGCACTGTGGAACCAATGAAAAGTCTACACCAGCTATGCGTAGAGGCCCATCAGGTCCAAGAACCCTTTGTAATGCTTGTGGGCTTATGTGGGCAAATAAGGTGGATTTTTAATTCCATCAATCTGCTTAAGACTTGTTGTCATGAATTTGTGATATTAAGAGCTTGAGATATCTGTGCTTGTTTAGGGAACACTGAGAGATCTTTCAAAGGCAGGGAGGATTATACCATTTCAGGGTGACCTGGTATGTAATCTGCAGCTTATACATTTTCTTTAGTATTGAACTTAGTTTTCTAGATGTGGAGTAATGTAAATTTTTTTTATTTTTCCTGCATTGATTGTTAGATATATGAAAGACTAGTGATGTGGTAAAATTGAGGCTTTGTTCTCCATAGCTTTAATTTCTGAAATATTTTCCTGAACTTGTAGCTTTTTATTTATTATTATTGAGCTTTTGCTTAACATTTTCTAAAAATAACTTATTTTGCTTAATTTATCTTCTTTTTTTATTTATTTATTTATTTATTTATTTTATTTTTTTATTGTAACTTGTTTGAGTAAGTTGGAGGAGAAATAGCCCTGAAAGCGCAGTATCAGTACTGGGTTTATTGCCACATGGATTCTGTTGAGATGTGTAGCTCTTTTTATTGCAGCTTTGTCCTGTGTTGAGGAAGTAATTATGCTTTATTTAGATTTCATGATGCATTTTCAGGACACTCCAAGTGATGTAAAGCCTCTGGCCATTGAGCCTGACAGTTCCTATGGCAATCAAGAAACGCAGGTAATATTTCTCATTTTACAATTTATACTATTAAGGATCACCCCCTGTGTGCATCTAATTATTAGGTCAATATTTGGTAGTTAGGGAGCAAATTTGTCCTAGCACATAAGTAGTTCTTGCTGGCAAGTGGCAACCAACTTGGCTGATTCTCTTGGCTTGTTTGAAGTACTGGTAGAACTGTTTGATTTCGTTGTTTTAGACTGCTGTTAGGTAACACACTGTTAATATGTAAAAATGATAAACTTTTTAATTTAGTTTAAAGTCTTTAGTGAGTTATAAGTCAATAAGAGGGCCAATCTAACTATTGTCATTGGCTTGTTAGGACATATGATAAAAGTTCACTTTTCTAAATATAAAAGTGTTAACAAAGCCCTGTATCTTGAAAGACTCATGGTTCACATTGATATCAATCTATTTGCAGAAAAGCCCAGAGGAGGCAAAGCCTTTCACTTCTGAATCAGGAAAAACCTCTACTAGGGAGGATGAACAGGTACAAATTCTCAAATGAAAATCTGGTTTTCTGGGTTGGATACTTGAATATAATAGGTTTTTATAATTATAACTGTTCATCTGCAAAGAGGCTGTTGACAGATGATCAGAGGTATGAAATATGAATGATTTATGCCAGCCCTATTCTTTTCGCTTTGATTCTGTAACCAAGTGAAAGTCTGACTCTAGGTTCTAAACCCAAGTTAATCCTCTCATCCTGCAAGTTGGTGACATCATCACCATGCTTCATCGAGATCATCTTGTGTGTCAAAACTCAAAAAAATGTCCTATTTTTATTTCCTGTTTGTTTAGTTTGGATTACCATATTCACATGAGTGAAAAGCTTAATCTTGGTTTAGGCCACATCATCAACCAAAATCCCCTTTTCAGTGTGCAGCAGTATCAGGAATAGAATAGTTGATTAGAGTTCTGTCTGGATATTGTGTTTACAAGTAGTAACATCTTTCTGTTTCTGTACAGGATTTGCTAGAGAATGACGAAGCAGTAACAAATGATTCTGCTGTCTCATTGCAAAATGCATCAGTCAGTGTCACTGAACAGGTAGTTCAATTTACATGCAATAACGTTTGTGATTGAATGCGTATGGAAGGTATAACTCCCTTGACAAATATGAAATACTAATGACGTTTGTCAGATGTCATCATCTAGTAGGATTACTATTTTTCCCCTATCCGCCTGTTAGATTTACATAAGCATAGATATGAAAAAACAATGTGCCCCTTGTGGCCAAATAGGTTTTTGAATTGTTGGCATTTATTGATCTAAGCGGCAATCCTAAATTAGGAGTTATTATTGGAAAAATAGAGCTTGAAAAGTAGGTTTCCTCATACAGATACGGAATAGATACTGAAGTAATCCCTACTATTTTAAACTAAAGGCGCTCACAGTTTCAAGATTGAATCTTCACTGTTTATTTTTCCCACATACGTAGTAGTAGTAGTATATTGATAAAATAAGTTATTTAAAATAAAAAAGAATAATTGAAAGCTTGGATGCCTTTTCTTCTGAAAGGGAGGGATTTACTTTCAATAAGTAAAAAGTTCATTTAAGAGGGAAAAGGTTTAGTTTCTTCTGAAAAAGTTTATTCTTTTTAACATTTAATAACTTATCAAAGAAAAAACTTCTGAACGGGGAGAAAAGGCCTAGTAATTAACGTGGATACTATTAGCCTTCCACGCTTTGGTGACTTTTAGATCACTGGATCTACTTAAACTTTTGATGAAGTAATTAATTGATTTAAGGTGTTTCTATACAACAAAGGTTGAATATTAAACATTATGTGAACTAAACCTAGACCTTGCACTTACGTCCTGAAATTTGTGTTTGTGCTGTAATTTGTCCTGAAACAGTATGTCCATATTGATGAGATGGAAGTTTGGATAACCTTGCTTTCAACCAAACTTACGTCCTGAAATTTGTGTTTTTGCTGTAATATGTGTTTCTGATGTATTTAGTGCAAATCCAGTGCTTTCTCCTTTGTTCCCATACACTTTTTTGGAATTGTTGTTTATGCGTTTTCATGGCCATCTTGCTTCTGTTTTGTAGGAAGCTATAGAAGAAGTTACCAATGGTTCTGGAACAGAGTTTGAGATTCCTTCTGGCTTTGACGAGTCAATGGGAGCTTTCTACTGACTTAAAACTTATTGGGAACACATTTTTCATCTGGGCTGCGATGGCTAGCACTGCACAAGTAGTTGGTACATGTTATTATTTAGTAATTAACACCTCATCAACTTACAGGATTTTGTGAAGCAAATTTTCCAATCTGTTGTTTGTAAGAGGACTACCTGCCCTTATTACAAACAATAGATTTGAGGCTGTATGTAACAACAAAAGATTTATTTGTTTACCAATTTTAACCTGTCATATACTGAGCCTAAAGGTTTGTGTAAAAGTTTTCCGCTTCAGGTGTTTCTTGGTCATTGACGCTCATTGATGCAAGACACATAGCACAGTCTCTTATTCTATCTACATGATCGTTCAAGCTTAGGACTGGCCAATTGAATACTCAGGTAATGATTTCAGAACTGGGAAAGTGTTATGAAATATTAAGGGGGCGCTTGGTTAGAACAATGGAAATGGAGTGGAAAGGAAACAAGAGAAAAAAATCATGTAACTGTTACCTTTTCGTTCGTTTGGTTTAGCTATGGAAAGAAATCACTGTGTTTGAGGAGAGAAACCTTGGGTTTTGGAGAGGTAACAAAAGGGTGAAATCCCTTACCCTTAGGTAATGGTAATTGTTACCAAACATTTGGTAACGATAATGGTTTATCCAAATCCTTTTCCAACCCAAAACACTACCTCCGTTATAGGTTATGTGTAACGATTAGACATTTTTCCTCTCTGCTTTATGTCAAATTATTGCAGATAACCTGTAACGGAGGTAGTATACACTAACCAAACATGTTCTAAGTGTTAAAGACTTCACAAGGACCCATATAAGGTTAAAATGTCTGGATTAAATTATAGAACTCAGTTTTAAAATCCATGCACAAAATACTACGTAGTAAGCAGTTGTACGGTTGTACCCTAGGAAATGGTCAACATCAAGGATCTCAGTGATGATTGAAAGTGATTTAAAAATGACATTTACCAAGATTGTACGAGTTTTTAAAAAGAAAATAGGCAAATTGTGAAGACACAATAGCTTATAAGCGGATCGTAAAGACCATAAAGTGTAATAGTTTCAATGCAATAGTATATGTTCAGTTACAGGACTTCCGAATATACAATATATCAATACTTCCCATCTTCTTTCAATGGCAAACAAACCAATATTATTTGTATTGCAAAACTGAATAGAGGTAAAACATTCCCTCTACTATACCTAATCGACTTCAGGCGTACTAGCTAAGACAAGTATTATACTGACGGAAAATTAAATGCACCAAAAAAACGTTTGACTGATAGGCCAAAAGTAAAAATAAGATATATGTTACACGAACCAGCGGATTTCATTTTACCACCTCAAGACTTATGCAACTTTTAATATCACTGAAATGAATCTTGACAAACAGTGCAAAGGCTTCTTTCACCGAAGATTCAATTATACTGGACAGACCAATAGAAATGAATGAAATTGGTATGATTGAGCAGACTGACCATATAACTACATATGGACAGTTGGATACAAACCAGGTAGAGAATTACGTCCACCACCACCACCATTAGAATCAGTATTACCATAAAATGGTGACTGTAGTTCGCCTGAGTGGGATGATTTTTTTGACTTGTGGGTTTTAGGAGAGGCTGAATAGGAATCACTTGAATGACTGCTGTTTGAGTACGCAGATGACGGGAGCCCATTAAACTTTGGCAAACCAGTAGCATCAGTACCCAAACTGTATCCCTTCTCAACTGTATCTGCCTCTAGCGGCAATTCATCAAGTACCTGTAGTTGAAAAACAAGAATGCAAGTCGAAGAATGATGCTTAGAAGTCTACAGAATTTCATTCTCTCAACACTAACAGCTGAAGAATCGTTGTGCTCCAAGTGGGTGTAAAGATAGACAACGAAAATTGCAAATTTAGTATCCAGAGACCAAAGAACACATAAGCAAACAGGTAAAAACAAGTAGATGATTACATTTTGGCAGCCATGAATAAACATGAAAAAAAAAAAAAAAAGGCATCCAACATAGAGCAAGGACCACATAGACTTCAAATCATGATGATAACAACCAAAAAACAAAAAATTCTCATGTGCCTACCAAAAATTCTGAAGTGCAATTTATGATCACCTCCAGAAAACAATAAACCCGATACCACTCAATAATCTACTGTCAAGCACTAGACTGTAAACTGAGTCACAATTATGGAAAGTCCAATTATTAATTTACAAGCATTAATTCAAAGTTTCAAAGACAAATTATGCTGTAATTACTCAGATTTGAAACACATATTAACAATTCCTAAACATCACACACATCCACGGAGAATTCTATTAAGCAAATACCAACAGCATCAAAGGCAGATTGATAGTCTCCAAATTTAAGTAAAAATTATATGCAACGATGTAACAGTTCTTAGGGTTTCCTAAGTTTACAGAAACTTACCCGGAAAGCCTGGTTGAGAATGCGTAATTTCTCTCGAGTTTGCCTCCTTTTTGTTGCAACCTCATCAGGTTCTTGCAACATCTCCTCAAAAAGATTCTCCCTGTATCATGGGCAAATCAGTCAGAGGTGTATTCCAAAATATTGTATGCTTTGTTAGATGTTATTAAAAATAAAATAAACATGTTGTGGAAGCTTCATGTTACCTATAGAGCTTTTTAATAAACACGTTGTGAAGCTCTCGCTTTGTATGGTTTACCTGCACAATATTCATATAACAAAATCATATATCAAATACAGTGATAATGACAGCAATAAGCCAATAACCCATTTTACCACTAGCTGTTACTTGTTACTGTGCCAAAGTATAACTAGACCATACTTGAACAGAAAAGCCACACAGAAGTACAGCTTTTACAATCTATATTCCAGTTCATATTTCATATTGTTAACCTACTAGAAAACATTATATTTCAAGTCACTGCAAAATAAACAAACATGCTATATATTTTTTCAATTTAATATATTTTCTGGAAGAGAAAAATCTTAAAGTAGGCCAGCAGAAGCCTCACTCAATACTCATGTGAAAATATATGGAAATCGGCGAGTATAACGGGGTAAATTAATCATATTTTCCAACTTGACCGAGTTATAGGAGAAAGGCCACTGTGTTCTTTTTCATGCTGGTATAGCTCTTCAACCAAAGCACTACAGGAGAAATAATGCACTCCCACAGATAGTTTAAACCATCCTTGATGAAATGATGATGTTCATACCATGATGAAGGAATGCACATGTGGTACATGGATGGTATATACCACATTGATGTGATACCATGATGAAAAAAAAAAAAAAAACTCATATATGTTGGCAGCCTATAGACCATTTAAAGCAGTCAATTCACAAACGATTACAACAAAGTAACAGAAGCCCAATGCCCAAACCAAACCATTGTATAATCAGGAGTTTCAAGGGCATCTGAAGTAGATAAAAGTCTACAAAAAACGACAAATCTGTAATCCACCTGTTTCTCTTCTCCATTTAATCGATTAAAGATTAAAACTCCCACACACCAAAAAGGAAGGAAACTTACTAACTAGGTTAGAGGTAGATCCTTACCAAATCACAGGCTCACAGCTATATATGACTTATATCACTATATTCACAAAGTTTGCATAAAGCATAAAGCCATAAAGAGCTAAGAGAGCAAAAGTGGACTACAAACTTTAAAAAAAGTACATATCGACAACCATATAGAGTTGATGCAAAAGGCAAAGCTAAAGATCAGATATAGGTGGAAATTGATTTAGGGTAGTTAAGATCTCACCAGGAAGTGCATGATCGCCTTAGGCACAGAGTCTTCCACATTCTTCCTGACAATGTCATAATATGACTTCAACAACAATTTGGTGACAGCAATTTCAATTGCTTCATTCTCTGTACAAGTCTCTGCAGGCCTTAGTATTGCTGGTGGCTTCAAGACAGAAAAGAAAATTACTACTTCAAAGCTGACAAAGTAAAGCAAAGATGGGAGCATTATCATTATTTAGAAAACACTTACTTCCTTCAAATGTATCATCGAAAAGGCATGGTCCATGATATGAACAGGCTCACTTGACTTGTTAATGTTGGTTTCTTTAGAAGACATGCGGTTGTCAGTAGCACCAAAAATTGATGAAATCCCCCAACTAGAGTTAGTTGCACCTCCTGTTCAGACATTATCTATAATATCAAAATTACAAAACCCATGGTTTCCTCTGAACATGGTAACTACTGTCTTATTTCAATTTGTCTAGGTTGAAGTATCTAATGTAATAAATATGGGTAGAATCTTACCAGAATGAGCAGGCTTTTCACTGTCAACTACAGACCGAATGCTCTGTCAATCATACAAAATTTGCAATAAAGTCATTAAACAAGTAAATAGTTAGTACTTACTACTCAATCTACTTACTAGCCAATCAGTTAGTGACAGTCATATTTCCAAATAATTGAATGACCTATGTAATCGACTAACATTAACAAGGGTAGTTTGGGAATTTTAGTACTTTTAGGTTAGTAGCCCTTATTCCTAACTAAGCCTTAGTATAAATAAGGGATAGTATATGCATTAGCTATCATGGGAATTGTGAGGAAAAATGTTGAGAGTAGTAACCTCAAGTTACTAGGAGAGTGATAACCTAAAGTTATCAAGAGAGTGATAGCCTTAAGCTATTAATCTATCCTTTTGTACCCAAATTCTGCCATTATTAATCTAAGTTATCAAGCATTTATATCTTAATTAGTCTTTAAATCAGAAAATACAACATCAGTCTATTACAACCTAGCTAGAAAGGGAAATGAAACTTAGTACCCTGCAGATATAGTCAGGTCCGAGTTTTCGTACCTGTTCTGTCATGATTCCATTTGCATTTCGGGGAAGAATAGCTCGTGTTTTGATGGTCCTTTCAGATGCAGGTGCTTTATCTGTATCCCCACCATCCTAACAGCCAATATGCACCAACTATGTAATGAAATAAATAAATAAATAATCATGAACTCATTAATTGTGGCTTGACAGGTACCTTTAGCTTTGGGATAGATACTGAAGTTCTCGAGGACTTGATATGTTGAGAAGCAACCTCAACAGCTTTGGCTCCACCAAGAAAATTAGGATGTGAAGTATTTATGTAGTCCATCTATGAAATTTAAACAAGATTTTAGTCTTACCGCAAGGACTTAATGGGGCTTGATCTAGTCCACTAGCAGATTACTCCTCTGTAGATGTATTAAACAATTTACCATACGTTTAACAAAAAATGGTGGCTCTACCTTTAATACAGGAAATGGGGAATATTATCTTAATAATGTAACAACAATAACAGCATAAGCAATGTAACAGAGTAGATCAAATTGTTTAGCTAGATAGCCTAGATTATAATTCTATGGTGCTCAAGTAATCAGTGAATTACTAATGCAAGTAGAAACTTCAGTAAGTCAGATACAACTCCAATCTAGGTTCCACTTAAACAACCCCTACTCTTGACAGATAATCCTCAGAGAAGACTAGTGTACAAGCAAGAATAAGTAACACACATTACAGATAACCCAATACAAGTAAGAATAAGGACTAATGTAAGCAAAGTCACTAATAGTAGGACACAACAAATTTTAAATTGAAGCACATACAAATAGAGACAACTAAAAACATGAAAAAGGAAAATACCCAATGAATTGAAAATAAATTATTAACACTCTTTTAGCAGCAATTACCTCCATTTCTATAATATGCCCAATCATTGCCTCAGCAGGTTGGAGGCCTTCTCTCAGGAAGCTATTAATGACTTCATCCATTCGCTTCCTAAGTAAAGGAAAGCGCTGCAATTCACTATTCAGACAGCGATGGCTCATCTACACGAAGAATTTTCTATATTTTAGCAACTGGAATTTATTATAAGCCAGATAGTATAGAAAAACTTCACTACCTTTATCAATTCGTCATATATGAACCTCGCACATTGGTGACTTGGATCTAATAAACGAGCAATTTGTTTTCTGATAAGAACTTCAAATGGTACCTAAATTTTCAACAGTTAAATTCAAAAGGTTTAAAAGCCAGGAAAAAAAAAAAGAAAAGAAATGTTTGATGTTAAGACACTTGAACGGAAACCAAATAACAAAACACATTATTAAAAAAAAAACTAATCAATTCGGTATCATTAAAGAGCTTACTTCTGGAACAAATAATGCAGATTTAGGACCAGTTGCATTCTGAATAGCTGTTCGGATGTCATCGTCACTTAAATCCTCACATGGATCCACCTCCTATAATAAAGATTATTAATAATATATAGTAATCGGTAAAAGTTCGCTATTACTTGAAATTACGACTAAAAACAAGTTTTCAAACAGGAAATCACACTAAGAAAGACACAAACATTAACAATAGAAACAGAAATCCAAAAGTAGAGGGAACGAGTAAAGTCAGAATTTGAACCTCTAAACTCTTAACAAATATTGATTGAAATATGTAATGAATTCTGGCACCACCAGACAACTCAGATGTTGACATTTCTTCATTCTTCCCTTCTATCATAGAAGCAAAAGCTGTCCAAACAAATCTTACCAATTAGGCATTAACCATGAACAAGAAAGTAAATAAGATGTATGTACAGACAAACACATAGCAGACCTACCTTCTGAGTACTTAGACAGAATGTTCAAGATGAGAGAGCCCTGACCAGCCTAGCAACAACAAAAGGCAAAGACATTTTAAGTAGAAGTTTAGCAACATGCAAGTTTATAGATCCACTACATTTAGTCTAACTGCTAATTTGAAGCAGAAATTTCAACAGCACTCCAAACCATGCTATATTATAAGATATCCTGCATAATTCTAAACAAACTAACCAAGTGATAGTGAATATTCCAGCTCTTCCAACAGATAACCAGGATACACAATTATCCTACCTTAGATTCAACAATTTCTCCATAGCTGGCATGCTCCTTGGCAACAGATACAAGTTGAGCACTAATATTCGCTTTCAGACCAGGAAGAACTGATTTGATGTGTCGTACTAGAATCTTCAAAATGATTAAATAAATAATTAAAAACCAACCATCAGGCTTAAAACCCAAATATATCAGAAATAAGATACAGTAGCACTAAATTGTTCTCACCTGGTTCAACTTTTTGGCTAGTTGTGGAACGCCGCAATGATCTGCAATATCATTGTACACCTGCATAACCCAAGTGAAACCCCAAAAGAAAGATCAGGAATGGAATATACCTACAACGCAATTAAATAAGCAAAATGAGTAAAATACAAAAGGCTAGAGGTACTATACTGGACGGCTACGGAAAAACTTCTCCTCAGCCACGAGGGCATCTTTTATGCTTCTATTATTCGCGATGTCCTGTTTTGATAAGACACAGCAGAGTGGTGAAAAAATATAACCGACTTGATAACAGAAAACTGTGAAATAATATAATAGGCATGGTAACAAACTAACAATACCTATAAAAAAAAAAAAAGATCTCTCTTTATTCTACAACATCCAATGTAACTTTACATAACGCAAGATCCAAAACACATGGAACAACTAAAGTCTGGTGTTCCAGTAATGCCTGAATTCAATAGGCATTATCAATTGAACTGACAGAAAAGAAAGAAATATTCCTTACTTTTGGAACCAATTACATTACAGACCAAATACAAGTCTACACACTCAACTAACCTTATTAATCAAACTACAAATAACATCAAGTCATCAACAAGGACAAAGATGAATTTTAGATGCATGCTTTGAATTAAGTTGTTTCACGCATGTGCATTGTTAGCAGCCATTACAAAAGTTGTTTGGTATTTCACACAACTAACACAATCTTTAGTGATGCAGATATATACTTCATAAGACAGCAGCCATCATTACCACTAATGGATGCCTAATATGTGTTTAACCATATACAATATGCTGTCTTTTGTTCTTACAATCAGCACCATCGTTATTTCTATATCTATCATCCATAATCTTGTCGTTATAGCTGTTAATTCCACAATTACACTACAACCACCATCGTTTCCCTCTGAAAATGTCCAAAACTACTTAGCTGAAAGTTCTGCTCAATCCCAACCTCGAGGGTACAGCAGTATGGTAAGCTTCACCTCTAAAGAGTCCAGAGAGCAAGATCCATTTCACACAATCAGTAATTGTTACACCTAAAATTAACAAACAATTCTCGTGTAACATCCTCTTCAGTCCAATTAACCGACCCATACAGCCATGTTCTAAAAGCTCATCAATCACATTCTAACTACCTACACCATATTATGTTCTTTAGCCTTTTTATCATGTAAATTACAAATATATGACTATGTCAATGTCAATAGTTATGAATTTGTTTGCTTCTGGCTCCTTGTCAAATCATTATGAATCATTTCATTGGAAAAATCATCCACTATCTACCACTAATATGAGGAATAAAGACAATTCTGACTCAGCTCAGCAAAGATACAGCATTATGCAGCAAAAGCAGGTATAGGTGAAACATGCAAAAAACTTGATTTGAAAAAACCCCTAAAATTCACTTAAAGTAATAAAATTCCTTAAAACATGACTTTTGAGAATTCATTAAAAACAATCAAAAATCCTTAAGCCAAGAGTCAAGAACCCAATAATTAATCCTCCCAACATAAGGAGTATTTGGCAATAAATAGAAATTCTCTAAGACAAGATGAATGGACCAAACATCCAGAATTCATTAGCATAGTTTTTGCAAATATGGTCAAAGCCATCAAAATATATAAAAGAAAAAATATACCTCTTGACTACGATTCACAACGCCCACATAACCAAGTCGTAGTGGTATAACTTTTCCAAGCAGAAAATTGCGAGCATCTGTGCCTCTGTCCATAATGTCTAGCTGAAACACCAAAAAGAGTCCAACATCTTAGCAGAAATCACGGTATCATTTAACGTATAATAAACTAGCTAACATGCCATGCACCTTAGTGATTACACCAATTGTTCGATATCCTGCCCAAAATAAGCCAAAAAATTGATGAATATAGTTGCAAAATCACAAGTTGATTGATTAAAAAAAAAAAATTGAGCAAGAAATATTTTCGCTCAACTTACCATCAGGATCTGCAATTCCAGCCATCTGTAAGGCATCTGAATTTGCTAGATCAGAGTTAGCAGGGGTAACCGCTAATATTAAGCAGCTAGGGATTTTGATGTAGGACATTATCATGGTTCTAATTCGTCCTTCAATGTCAGATGGCTGATCACCAACTGGAACTTTTGTTATCCCGGGGAGATCTACTAAAGTAATATCAAGAACAGTAGGTGAAAATATTTTCAGACGAATCTGCTTGTCAACAACACCTTTGTTTTCTCCAGCCTCTCTGTCAGTTTCAGCCTGCAATATAAAAAAGTATATAATAATAATGATTAGTCATTAGATTTTCCCAATCCTACTAGACTACTAGAGTCATAGGCCAATTCTAAGAGGTATCACACGTATGGTATTAAAACAAGTAGAGAATATAAACAGAGCAACAGCAAGGTGAAGAAGTGATACCAACCAAATTTTATTTGAACTAATTAATTAAGAATATACATGTGAACATATTTTAGAATGTGGAGCACAAAACAAACCAACTGCATTACTGCAAACAAGATGGCTATCTTCAAACATCAAAGCTGAAACAAGTGTACAGTAGATAGTGGTTCTTTCTGGTCAGTAAGCTGTATTTGAGGTGAAATATACTTCGTATTTCTTAACCTTGGTGCTCCAGATAAATGAATAAAAGGCAAATTAAAGCAATAAAGGTCCTGCTGCGCCTAGGTGCGCCTTGGGCACGAATAACAAATCAGGCCAACAAACCACCTGTTCTTCACACTGGCAGCAAGAGGCAGAAAAAGAGGTAGGCTAACACACCACCACAAGGAGAAGCACTACCTTAAAACTGCAGTTTTTGTTGTGTTGGCTTATTAGCTGCACTGCCTTAATGCTGCAGTACTTGTGTTGGCTTTTAGGGATGAAGACATGAATTAGTAAAGGTAGCAACTAAAGTTGTATTTGCTTAGCTAAGTAGTATATATAGGTAGAGAGTAGTAAAAGGAAGATAGGCAAAAATTTGCATTGGGAACCCTTGGAGAGTTATGGCCTAAAGCCATTGTTAGAGAGTGATAGCCTAAAGCTACTAACCTATCTTTTGCAACCTCTTTTTCCATTATCCATCAAGCTTTAATTTTTACTCATTCACCTTGTTAAATCGGAAATACAGAGTCAGATTATTAGTCTATTACAGCGCGCTATGGTCCGCCAGGCGCACAGTATAAAACAGCTAGAGAAATTATATGCGCTTCTGGTGCGCCTCTTTAAATGCGCCTTGCCTAGAGCAAAATAGGTGCTACCATCACCTAGCGCCTAGGCGCACCTTTTTATACACTACTCCAAATAGATGCGACAGAAGCATAAAGTGCAACGATGCACAACCATAAACTCTAAAACTAACCAGTTTACTTTTCTACTTAAAAACTCTCACAATGCAATAGACAATGGTATCAGAATAACTACTACCTCTATTTCATAATTTTTTGCAACTTTGGGTATTATTTGTGAAATATAAAATATTCCAAAGTTGCAAAAAATATGAAACGGAGGTAGTATAATTTAACAAATCAAACCAAGACGACTATACTGGCTCAAGTCAAACAAAATGTCATTCTAAATTTTTGATTGCATCAATTTGAAGCATGGAGGAGGACTCAAAGAATAAATGGAACATAATCAAGCCAATCTAGTAGTACAAGTTCGATAAAATTTCCATGACAATGTTCATCATACATTTAAAAGGAATGAATTGAGAGTGCTCCGCAATTTAAAATAGCAAGTTCCATTTTTTAAGGATTTTGTAATATGGGGGGCTTGTAGCCTAGTGCTTCGTTGCAAGCAACATCAGCCCTTCGTTAACCATGAGCAAATAGTTCTTGTCCAAAGCTTTGGTCGTTACTATATAAATTTGAAATTTCCTTTGAGGACCCTAAAGCTTTGAACCCCCCCCCCCCCCCCGCGCCCTTATTCCTATTGTAGATGGGTGACCCATTCATATACCGAATTAGCATTGACAAGGACTCCAACGAATGTCTCATCAACAAGACATCAAGACCTAGTGTCATGTAAAATAGGCCAACGGACACTCTCAAAACTGAGTTGTGCATGATTTCAATTGCAGAACAAAAGAAAGAAGACCATTCATCGTCATAAATGTGCATTTGGCAATGCAAAAAGCTACCAAATCGATAATCCAGCCTTTTTCAATGCTCCTTTAGCAAGTGAATGCCACTCCAGCAATAAATAATAAATATAAAGAGGAAATAAAAAAATAAAAAAAAAAACTAAATAGGGGAGATAGAAATTTTAATATGATGCAAAAAGAGGGTGAAAAAAGTAGTAAAAAAAACTCCTCTTCACTTATACAGAAACAGTACACAGCATGTACCAATTAACTACAATAGATCGATCTGTTCATAATTTCACTACTGCCTAGTGCATATTTAAGAAAGGAGGAAATGAAAGATTATTACATGAAGCTTCTTAAACCTATAACCTTAGCAAGGGAGTCGTATGTGTTTCCTTATAGCAAGTAGAAGCCCAAACGGTGAGAAACATCTCACATCCTGAATTAAAGCATCAAGTATAACAAATCAAGTAGCTAATTGATTCCTCTTCCCAATCAATAGAGATCACAAGAACTAAATCCTGATACCACTGGATGTCATTCATATTACCACTACTTCCATCCTATACTAAACACTGCCATCCTCAACGTTATAAGGAAACTTGGTTTTACCAATCAGTATAGATATCTTAAGGAGTAAATCCTCCACACTCACTGAGAGCTGTGCATATTTTATTTCAAGTAATGTTTAGTGTTAGTTTTTGAAGATGTACAAGTGGTTTTACTTTGTGTGTGAACATTGATCATTGATTCTGAATTAGTCTTGCTTTGTGCTCATAAGTAAGATATAATGTTACTTAGATTTACACTCTCGTAAATCTAAAATTTGACATTTTTTTTTCCTTTATAAATATTTCCCTTTGTGCTGTCTATTAGAACCTGCCTGTTGCTTGGTTCTTTCATCCGAAACACATCAAAAGCCTTTCACACAACCACACATATAGAATACATACTTCAGGTACATTCCACCAAAACGTAGTATTCATACTTGCAGCTGCCACTAACCATTATGCAAAACACTAGGTTTGAACTCCAAAGCACATAGTACCGTTGTTTACCACCATTAGAAAGCTTAAATTGACCACGCCAAAAAAAAATGAAAAAAAAATATCAACACCACCCAACACTAATTTAAACACTCTACTAAGCATGATCAATAAGCCTCAAAACTTCACTATGTTCCAACTGCACCTGTATATTCAGTATTCTTCCGATCAGACATTCATACAGGGTAATAACACTAAAGAGGCAATCCTGCTTCGAAACAACCATCAATTAAACAAAACAATACTCTATCCACTTAAATACTACCTTAATTCACAAATTAGTCACATTCATTTCGTCCTCATAAATAGGCAAAGAAAATCAGATTAATGCAACATTCAATTCTTACTCACACAGTTCTAATGACTTTGAATTCGAAATTAAGCATTCATATTCGCACTCCACAGATGATTCATCAATCATTTGCCATTATTGTAATCAATCAAAGAAAATTAGATTATAATGCAGCATTTTAACTCTTACTCGTACAATTCTAATGACTTCAATTTCAAATTAAGCACTCAAATTCGCATTTTCTACATTTGATTTACCAATCAATTTCCATAAACATAGCTAAAATGCAAATCAAAACATCCAATTCTCACAAAAAAAAAACAAAAATTTTTACTAAACTCCAAAAGAAACATAAATATACCTGAATTTCCCTCCGAATATCATTGAAATCATAAAAACGTTTTCCAGGAAGATGCAAGAACTCTCCCCACTCCTCATCACTCCTCTTAGTCTGCAAGAGCTGAAGCACAAGCGGACGACGAGTACAAATATCGCAACCTCGCGGCAAGAAATCGCGGCCAACAAGCGCTTCTAGAACGCTCGATTTACCACTACTTTGGCTTCCGACGACGGCGACTTGCGGCAAGTCAAACGCAGGACTACTTCCAAGCTGTGCCGCAATATCTTGAAGCTTGTTCACAATCGGAATCACCGACTGCCCTAACGACGCCGCCGTAGACGGTGGTGGCGATGGCGGCGGGATTGAATCGTCCGCCATTGATGACATTGGAGGTGAGGAGAGAGAAAGTGAGAGAAATCGATCGATAGAAATGGAAACAAACCCTAGAGAGAGAAAGAGGGGTTTTTCAAAATTTTACAGGAAGAAGAAGAAAGAGGAGAGAGATTGGGAATTTTTCAGAGAGGAAGGTGTGATGTGTTACTACTGTGATTTTTTTTTTTTTTTTTTTTTTTTGGAGGAGATTTTTGGTTTTGCCAATTTCTTGGAGTGGAGGAAAGGGAGAGGTGTCGTTTTGAGTTTGAGAGGGAACAACGAAAAAGAGATGTGATTATGTGCTTGTTAGGTGTTACGAGCCCACTTTGTGTTGGACAACCCTAGAATAATTTTGGGCAATCATGGACTCAAATGATGTACCATTGTACCAACTTACAAAGCAACACTCGCACGAGGGATTGAACCTCCAACCTCATGGTTGAAAGGTGCTCTCATTTCTACTTTGTAAGTTTTTTTTTTTTTTTTTTTTTTTTTGGAGTTCATGGTTTTTTTTTTATATGCAAATATGTATTAACTTTGGTTATTTATTTATTTTGAGTTATGGATTAATACAATATTATTATACTACATATATATATTTTTTGGAGTGAAATTAATGCTCATACTCTATAAGGGGTATGATTCGTATGAATTAACCTTTTTAAATGTGACACTTAGCTTGGTAGTTGGTATTGTTGTATGACTGCATTGCTTCTTAAAACTATGAATGATTTACCACTGGATTTTATAGTACTTTTTATGTCATTGATTAGAAAATATGTTGAGGGGTTGTAGAATACACAGTGATTTTATCATACCATAACACAATTGATAACTTGATGTAAAAGTATATCGCATTATTAATTAAATTATGAGGATCAGGAGTTGAGACAATATAATGTTACTAAAATCATAAATATTGAAGTAGAATAATAACAATAATATTTAAAATAAAACACGCACCATGTAATTAGTCATTAAAAGTTAAAAATCTATTAGTGATGGCGTCCATGTACGTTGGTTGGGTTTAGTAATACAGGTTTAACCAACATACCAAGCAATTGAGATAAGATGAGGTAATATTACCTTGCCCTTCTCTGGATAGTCCATTAGTGGCCATATGAGATAACTTTCTTTCTCATAAAATGTCATCGCTTTAGCAAGCTTGGTCTATGAAAAATAATAACGTAATAACTTACTCCCTCTTTTCCGTAATTTAGTTCTTCTTTCGAATTCATTGGTGGTATTTGTTCAAACTTACAAGGAGGTAAGTGTGAAGTGAGTAAGAACCAAAATTGCTTGCATTCTTTTGGATTGTTTATGGACAAAGATTTTAACCATATTGTCATTGTGTCAAATGATAATCAATTTTACAGCTAGTCTAAGTATGTAGGTATGTTTGATGGAACAAATGACAATGGGTTACAAGTCATTTACCAATATTTAAAGTTGCTCTTGCAAATGTCCATCATTGTCATCAATTGATCGCCCCCACTTAAAAACAAACAAAAAAAATTCCATCAATTCCCATCATTTGATATGCACTTGAATTATAGGCAACAACCAAAAGAATAAAAAGTCTATTATTCGCAACAATCAAAAGAATAGAAAGTCTATTATTCGATGGACACATCATCTAATGCGCAGTAATCTTAATAACTAATAGTATGATGTATTGACAAATGTTATACAATATTATGAGATAAATAAATAAATTAGCTAAAACTATTTGAACACGAAAGAGCAAATCATGCTACTTGTATAATAGATGCTTATAAAACGTATTGCAATCATGTTAAAAACAAAGGATGCTATAAAAGACTAAAAAGACATATCAAATTAGGTTAAATTTTCTTAGAGGGAGAGTACATGATGGTGGATTTAGTCATGTAGTTAATTAATTATTCATTCCATATATAAAATAATGAACTCTCAAATGAAACAAAACAGACAAAATGGAAACTTTGAAAATATGAAAGAAAACCAGTGTTCAATGAGCAAGTCAATGAATTAAAGAAGCTAGCATAAGAGACTGAGTCTAATGATTTTAGCCTCCCTCCAATCCATAGATTAACAACAAAAATTATTAAAAAAAATTGTTTTTCAAACTTACAAATGAAGGAAAGGTCGTAGACTAAAGGAATATTGATTAAGACCATGCAATATTTAAATTTAACGCTTGTAATTGGCTAAAAACTAGAACTTTTTAGAAATTTGACTTCTATACATATTCATAATCATTACATAATGTGATGCTTAATTAGGATGAAATAGTGATGATATAATGCTATTAATCGAGGAAATTGACAATTTCAATACGTTCTTTATTACAGTATTATTCCCCTCCGTACGTGTTTGGATGCACAAGTCACATTTTCAACGTAATCTTTGATTAAGTTATTTACCTATTTATGTCAAAGCATGCAAGCTAATGCAATCAAATTAAAGCCAACATTTTTGTATTTGGACAATATTATAGTGATCATTCATTCAAGTTTGCCTGCTTAATGTTAATGACTTGGTCACATAATTAGGTATATAGCTTGATCAAATAAATGCACCGCTGTTGTATGGAGTATATAGTTTCTTTGGTATGTAATTCTAAGATGAGACAGTCTCATGTAATGTAATGAGATTATGAAATGATCGTAAGTCTAACTATCTAGCTAATCACATGTTAATTAAAGAGTTTTTTATACAATGCCATGAGCCTAGTCGGTCCCATCTTGTATATACATGATTCAAGCTTACTAGCCGTCAAGTTGAGAATATTAAGGAGAGAAACTTTCAGATAACGCTAACATTTGTGATATCAAGCTAAGAGTCTGGAAATTTCATAATTTCAAGAGAAATCTCTCTAAATAACATGTGATACCTAATGGTAAGTTGGTAATACAACCTTGCCTCATTCAATTCCTCGGAACTAATTATACTTGTTACACAACTTACAAGTAGTATGTAATCAAGTAAATACGTAGTTCATAACACCAAATATATACATCTAAAAAATTTGATCTTTCCTCACTAATTTATTTAATTTTGCTAATACATGAATGTAGAACACTAATCATGGCTTAATTTAATTACTATCACAATCTTCCCTTAAGAAAATTGACACAAAGCTTTCTCCAAGCTTCCTTGTCCGGATCACGCAACTCCATAAACTTAGCCCTCAACTCATTAGCATAAGCATCCTGCCAATCACATTCAATAATTAGCCACCATTATACCATAAACGCGTGGTTAGTTATTATCAACACCTTTTTAAGTGTTACAGAGTAATAAATACTTAAGGTTATTATTATGAAACGAAGAAGTATAAGTAAAATGTCAATAACATACCACGATAAAACTCTTTTGTAGAAGGCGATCGATTAGGTGTAGAAGAATGTCCGTGTTGTACTCGGGATGACCTTGAATGCCCATCATATGATCACCATATTTAAACATCTCAATTGAAGTTTTGTTGGACCGACCTATCACTTCAACTTTGGGAGGAAGTTCTAACACCTTTATTTTTTTTTAACAAAAATTATGAAATACTTTAGAAAATGTATGTAAGATTGATATAATACTGATTAGCAAGTAGTATTTTTTTTCCTTAATTAGTACTAATAAGTACTAACCTCATCTTGGTGGCATTCGATTATGTTGAGCGTAGAAGGAATTTTGAGATTTGAGATGAGTTTATTTGATGAAGATGAGAACTTAATTGTTCTAAGCCCAATGTCCCAACCCGAACTAGCCCGCCCAATCTTTCCTCCCAATGCTCGGCCCAATACCTGCTCAAACAAGAAGCAACAAGTGTTTGTTACATAAGTATAGTAACAGTGAAAACGTGTTACGTATAACTGAGAATGTATTATGAACCAAACAAGATGACGATTTAAAAAATTGCATTCGTTTTCTTTCCTCTAATATGCTTATCGTTTGTGACATATCTTATTACTTTATACTCGTAAAAGTAATGTCATTTGCAACAAACTTAAAAGTTGAATGCTTCATACTCCCTTGTCTATACCACTAGATAAAATTTTAAACTCGCACATAAACATCTTCTCTATCAAACAAATACTATGTTTACTTTTTATGTTTATCGTTCATAATATACTACAATGATAATTGAACTGGTAGTGAAAAATGAATGATACACAAACAGAGGTAGTACATAAAAAATATAAGTGTCAATCTTCCTCCCCTACTATATTAGGGTTTGAAAACCAGCACGTAACCCATAATTTTTGTTCTAAAATGGCCTAAATGCTCATAGAAAGCAAGTGGGCCCACTAGTATCTGGCAACATTACCTAAAATTAATTAAGAACAAGTAAGCAATTAAAAAGCATTAACATTTAACACTATTTTAATAGTGCAAGTCAAATTACATGATCTAGTAATTTGCCGACATGAGTTTGAATTAGATTGACATTATATACCCCCCAAAGTTATAATTTAATTTATTTTTATAATTAGCTATCCCTATAAATAAGCAATAAATATATTATTAATACTCCAATTTGTTGATTATATATTGTAATGTACATTTTGTATGTAAATATGTAATAATTGCATGAGATATTTTTCTAAATTAATATGAAAAAATTAAAATGCCATAGATATATGTTTTCATATTTGTGACCCAAAAAAAAAAAACAAAAAACAAGTATGTAGGAGCCAGTAAAATAGATAGAGATTTTGCTAACCCTGCAATATTAGAAAGTGCCTTGTTTAATTAACTCATGTTTCATGCTACAAATTCTACACCACTAATATCAAATTGTCAACAACTAAAAAATTATATAGGGTTTCGTTGGAAAGGTCCACTTGATTTTTTTTTCTCCAATCCCTCTTATTATATGATCTATAATACTGCCTTCGTTACATATTACTCGCAACAAATTAATATTTTATCTCTCACAAATAATACCCCTTTATTGCGAGTAATTCGTAATGGAGGGAGTATTAAGTAGAACTCGCGAAATAAAGCTTATCAATTCATAATAATTGGTACACTAGAAGCTACTCATCATACTAACAATGCAAGCTAAGACTTGGCCATTTTTGGATCTAAACACATATTTGTACGTGTGTACTTTGTAAATTAATAAATAAGTTAAGAACACTTTTCCAAGTGATGTACTGCCACTTAATTAATATTAATAGATAGAGGAACTAATACGTTATTACGCAATAAGGAAAGTGGTAGACCAATTTCATACAATATACGAAGTATGTAGTAATATTAAGGCTCCAATTTACCCTAACAAGTAACAACTAGTCAGCTTGTACGATTACTGGACCACTTGAGTATAAAAGGAAGGAAGGGAGAAGAAGATGAATAATCAAAGGGGTAAAATGGTAAACTATCGTAATAACTGATAAATTTCGGCCTTATTTAGTAGCCTAAAAAATAACATGAAAAACTCCTTTAAAATAAAGGAATGTATTACGAGTAAATTTAGCAAGCCTTGCTACTTTAAATTCCGTATAGTACAATGTAACGTATAGAATCCACTTATATTCAACATGGTTAGGTATTATGCCTCAACTTGCCCATTTTTCAGCAAGAAAATCATTAAAATCTGTCTAATGACACAAAATTTAATTTTCCCTAGACAAAATTTTATGCTCTATACATGCTTCAACGCAAATCGAAATGATGCAATTTTTTTGGCAGTATTGTATATCGCCTCAATTAATACTCTTATTTTATAGTATCAATCGAATTTAAGTATATTCATCACACGTCTAGCTCTTTCTAGCTAAACCAGTTAATTAACTCTACAAACTAGACAATGTACCAAAAAACAAATAGAAAAGTTACTCTTTCTATTCAGAATTACTAGTCGCGTTATAAATGATCACATGATTAGTTTCGCATTAAACAAAAAAAAGTTTTTACTATTTGTAGGGGACACATCCCTCTAATTAAGGTATCAACACATCAACAGCATGATTCTGACCATATCTCAAAAAACAAATTAATTAAATTAATTAATTATTACTAATGACAATTAATAAAATTAAAAACAAAATTACCTGATGACCAAAGCAGATGCCAAGAACTTTCTTCTTCAAAGAGTCGAGATTCTTGAGTAGATTAACGAGTTTACAGATCCAAACATCATTAGAATGAGCATCACTACAACTTCCAGTAATAACAAAACCATCATACATTCCTAATTCCTCTTCTTTAGGGAATTCATTTCTTGCTACTTTGTAAACATCCCATTTTTCTCCTTCTTCCCCTAACATTCTTACGAAAACCCCAAAATACCCTCCGTATTTCTTCTTCACATACTCTGAATCATCTGCACATAATAGTACTGCAAACCTTTTCCCCTGTTTTTTCCCATTCCCTTTCCCTAACCCCAATACCCTGTTTGTTTCCTCTATTAACTGATCATTTGTCAGTTCATTTTCTGGGGACTTGGGAATCAGATTCACCATTTTTTGGGTTTGGTTAGGAGGAGGGAATTGAAAAGAAGGGAGTTTTAGAATGTTTGGGGGATTTGATAAAGGGGAAAGGGAATGATTGTTTCCCCTTCAATAACTTAGAGGAGTATTTTGCTCTGTTAATTTTTTTTGATGCAAGAAATGAGAAGAAGAGGTGGGGTTTTATAACTGGCTTTCATGACTATTTGCTTGATGATCTGGCATCAATCTTAGGTGGATTTTTTTCTTATTTTTTTTCTTAATAATTCGTGGGCTCAATTTTTTATTTTTATTTTTTTGTACTCTGCAATAACGTTTAACGGAGTTATAAAGTATGGTAGCGCGAGGATAAAGGTTACACATACAAGTAGAGTGAGTAACGACCGGATGAATACAAGTGTCTTGATAGGATGATAAAATATGATCTACAAAGAAAAATTTTAGTCCTAGCTCGTCCTACCACGATTTATTGCTTGATATTGTTAAAAGTTGCTCTCAATCTTATTAAATTCTTTTTGAGCTCTAATACATGTTCTATTGCATGGATTACATTATATTAATTTTTCCGAGGAAGAATGTTTGGTTTATAAACAATGTTAAGGAGGTTTCTTACTAAAATCAATTAGTGATACTAGGAGTAAATACTCTACTTTTTAAAGTGGAATTAATTATTAAATTTTTTTTTTCTTCAATGTGAGACACTCACAAGTTATAAGTGGGTTTACAATGAGTTTCAACCGTCATGTTTTAATTTGTTTTAATCGTTTAATATCTTTCTTTACGTATAATGTATAGTGTACTACTATATTTAAAACCTTTTTTTTTCCCCTAAAGATATATATATACTCCGTATATATAGTAATATAGATTCCAATCCTTATGTTTTAGATTATTTAATATATATATATATATATATATATATATATATATATATATATATATATATATATATATATATATATATATACTCCGTATGAAGTAATTAATATGGTAGGACAGTATTAAGGTGTAGTGAAAGAAGGTGAGGGCCATTTTATATACTTTAAGAAAATCTTCACTGAGTCTAAGATCTTTTTAATAATAGGCCAGGTAGTGAGGGATGAGAATATATATTGAATGTAGACATAGAGTTGTCCAAGATACTAAACCATGCATGTTTAAATTAAACCAATCCCTTTCTGATATGAAGACCATTGTATTAAATGTCATTGGTATATAGATATCGTAAAGTGGAATGGTCCATATATTTTTATATTCAATTTTGTGATACTTCGTCGTTTTGAATATGCCACCCTTTAGTTTTGCACTATACATATAATGTTCATTACATAATTTTTATTTAAAATATAAAATCTCAAATATATCATACTAATGTGTTTTTTTTCCAACAATAATTGGTATCTAATTTCATAAGATGTATATTGACAAAAATGTACTATTATATATATAACATAGCTAGCTAGTTCAAGTTTGCAATTGGCCTTAGTACATTCGTAAATATTATTAAAATTAAGCCGGACTCTGAAACCACGCTAAAATTTAGTAAAAGTTAAGTTCCCTAGCTACTATGTATATCAGCAAAGAATTTATACAAACCTATTATTAGACTAATGCGGCACCAATTGATCATCACAACTAATTAGGGCAAAATACAACTAACCAAAATAATCCCCAATATATAATATCATATTATCATATATATATATATATATATATATATATATATATATATATATATATATATATATATATATATAATTCTATCTGTAGTATGCATACTATTATACGTAAGGAACAAGTATATTCACCATATATGCATAATCACAGATTCTAATGATGTTGATAACTTGATATGCCAAATGACCTAAAGATGATGAATAGATGAAAAGTAGATTGGGACACAAAGAGATCATTCATTTCTTGAATAATAGCTATATTGTGTGGACTCATTTCTTTGCCAACTTAATAAAAATGTGGCTTCCAAAGCTAAAGTACGCACTTTGGTCTCAAAAGCATGCACTAATTGGCTAATTGCAATTCCATGATAAAATATCAATTGACAATACCATGTAAAATAAAGCTATCTAATAGCGATGTTACGTTTTACAAAAGCCCCAAATCATTTAATTTGCTAATGAAGAACAATATTTAGAAGGCTAATATAATATGATCGAAGATGTTTTACGAAATACTAGACCAAAATTTTCGTGATTCAAATTTGATATGGCATATAGATTAATTATGTTAGATGATTATGAACAAAACAACATTAAGAATGCATAACCATCATGAACATGATACATAATTATTGTATACTTTCATTTTCTTTTTCATAATGTACTACGTAGGATAGATAACATAGTAACATACCATGTTTTTTTGCCTCTAAAATTACGAGATTGTGTACACACATGATTTAAGACATTACGAGTATATGTCATTTAACTCTCCCATGTCTCATTCTTCTATAGAGTGTATTAGCGTGTACACTACACTACGCAACTAAAAGCTACTTTAACTTATCTACAAGTAGCATTTTAGTCACGTGCTTCATACACACATATAACACCGACTTTATGTATAAGGCCTTGCAAAAAAAAAATCATTACAGCTAGCTCCAAGGACCTAACCAACACATACTTGGCATAAATTATAGGTTTAAGGATGTACCTCGTGATAAAAATGTTAAAAGTATTTGTGGTTTCAACTTAACCAAAAGTGTGATATTTAGTTGCTGAGCTACCCTCGAATAGGAACAACATTATTAACTGGAGTACAACTCGTCTCGATTACAGAATATTCAGTATCTGGTAAAATCAACGGATTCAACACGTAGTCTAAACCTATGGACATACACTCGATCTATTTGTGACCACAGACTCACCCCATACACAAAAGTTGTAAATAACTCCATCGTTATTGCGCCATTCAGACCATTTACTAGCTGGTGAAAATGGCTGTTAACAAAAATTAAAGTGGAGGACTCTAAAAACTTTGCAGATATTTGGGACCAATTAGCTACGATCGACTAGTGTTATAAACGGAATTGCACAAATAAAATAGTAAGAACAATGTTACCGAGAATAAGACTGAGTCGCGGACTATGTCGCTCTCTTTAGAACATTCGCGACACTGCCTCAAACTTGTGCAAGCAGCTCGTACCAAACCGGATGCCCCCAGGATAAAACAGTCTTTCACAAGTATAAAATACCGGCGGTTTTGCACCGAACCACCGGACAACGGAACACCAGAAAATCAGAAAGAAACTGCTCGACTGTTTTGAGAGGAAGAGAATATATTTTGCAAAGTGGTTTTCTGTATTTTTTCGGGTACATAAAAACAAAACTGGAACCGTCCTTTTATAGGTAAAGATACGTAACAGCTTAACCATGAAAACGGGAGAAAGATTAGCAACGTTTACTGCAATTAGTGTATCCGTTAAGCAAGAATCAAGGCATTAAATCAGTGTAACGGTGCAACGTTTAGCAGTAAAACAGCAACGAGAATCAAGCAATGTAACGGAAAAATTTAAACCAAAACAGTAAAACGTTTTGTAACTGAATATTAATCAAACCGGTAACAAAAATTAAGTTTGTTTAATAACCCAAACCCAAACCCGACCCAGCCCGGCTCGGTTCGGCGCGCGTGTGTGTGATATATGGTTTACCATATAGGTCCTCCCTCTCCACAAAATGTGGGTAGCCCAAGGGCCACACCCCTTTATCCCACTCTCTATATTATAAAGAGAGTAAAACTCTCATTTCCCACCAATGTGGGACTTTGAGTTTTTTCACAAAATTCACACACTACACACTTGTTGTTCCAACAATCCCCCACTTGAATTTTTTGAAAACATTTTCGAGCAAAATCCATACATATATAGGTTGCGCATAAACAGAAGTGTTTTTCAACTTGAACTTCTACGTAGTGAGTACGATTCAGATTCAACAAGGGTGACTCGAAGTTTTGAACCCTATCTCTGACAAAGTACCACACACAACCTACTCTTGGTGTTGTTCTAGACCCGTGCTATTTCGGCCATGCACGTCTATCCCAGTGTAGTGAATGCTCTAGAAATGCTGCCACACATTTCATAGGAAGCGGCCTAACTTCCACATTCACATAGGTGAATCTATCAAGAGTACTCCTGTAGCTTGGTACTCCACTCCAAATTGGAGTATAGATTTCATTAAGAGTTCCTATTAACTCATCCTTGATCGATTCAGGAAATTATGTCTTTTGAACATATTCAACTCATATCACACCATAACTTGTTATTACCCTTTGAACCTATTTCTTGGGATCTCCAGTTCATAGGTTGGGTTACCATTATGTGTGGTTCATTTCAATGGCAATAGTCCCATTTTCTTAGAGGAAAAATGGACTTTCTCCCTAGCTAATCCTTTCGTCAAAGGATCAGCCAAGTTATTCTCAGTGCGTACGTGATCCACTCTAACAGCTCCGATAGAGAGATGTTCTCTCACAGTGCTGTGCTTACGACGTATTTGTCGTCTCTTACCGTTGTAATAGCGGTTCTGAACTTTTGCAATAGCCGCGGTACTATCGCAATGGATCAAGACAGCCGGTAATGGCTTTTCCCATAGGGGAATTTCACCTAGCAGGCCTCTTAACCAACCTGCTTCTTCACTAGCCGTAGCTAGTGCTATCATTTCTGACTCCATGGTGGACTGAGCCAAAATAGTCTGTTTCTTAGACTTCCAAGATACAGCTCCACCGGCTATAGAAAAAAATATATCCACTAGTAGCCTTAGAGTCATCTGATAAGGTGTTCCAGTCAGCATCACTATAGCCTTCTAGTACAGCTGGAAACCTTTCATAATGCAACCCTAGGTTCATGGTCCTCTTAAGGTATCTCATGACCCTTTCAATAGCATGCCAATGCTCATTACCAGGACAACTAGTAAACCTGCCTAACAATCCCACGACATAGGCAATGTCGGGTCTAGTACAATCAGTGGCATACCGAAGGCTGCCAATGATGCTCGCATAATCCGATTGCCTTACGGCATCACCAGTGTTCTTAAATAATTTAACACTGGAGTCATAAGGTGTATTAGCAGGTTTACAGTCAAAGTAACCATATTTATTTAGGATTTTCTCAATGTAATGAGATTGATCCAAAGAAAATCCA